TCCCTAGGGTACTGTTTTAATGGCTTTTTAAAGAATTGAATACGCTTTCACCAAGGGTATTTGCTAAGGGAAAAAAAAATGTAGAGAAAAATTAATTCTGTACTCATTATTCCAGAAGAACATTTCTCATTGGAAAGAGTTTTAACATAAAATGACTAGTAACATTTTACATTAATTCAAGTATTTTCTTCTTTATTATTTATAAACAATATGCCTTTGTAAGACATTGAAGAGAGAATAAACCCTTGAAATGACAATAAAGAAACTGGATTGTGTCACATTCAGGCATCATGCCACCTGCTGCAAATCAACTGCACTTACAGAAATTATTCCAGGTGCTGCCAAGAAAAGCAAGGTTAGCCACGACAGAAAATAGCAAATAGAAGATGAAGAGCTGCAATAAGCTGTCCGTTACTGAAAACTGTGTACCCTTAAAGTGCAGAAACACTTTAATGGAACCAAACAAAAAAAAATCGAAGTAAGAAAAAAAAGCACATGGCAGCCACAAGCAAATGGGTGCATGTGTCATCTGAGGCTTGGCAGAGGCTCAGACAGTTAGTTATCCATGTGTTTCTGTGTGCCTAACCCCACAGTGCCAGCACTCGTGAGTCTTATTAGCCTCACAATGTGTTTTCTTACAGACACAGCTTCTGGAGAAGCTGTAGGTGGAGAGATTCCCAGTTTCCATTTGAAAGCAGTTTCTACACCTTTTGGATGAGGATGAGTTTGAAAAAATTCAAATATTGGCCTAAGACTATAAATCAAAACCAGAATTTATTTTGTCAAATCAATTTGATTACTTAAGACTTCTCTCAGAAGTGCTGAGGGACCTAGCTCATGACTTTTGAATACCTGGACTTTACTTAGCAGCATCTCAAATTGCTTCCATAATGCTTGTGACAGTGCAGCACAAAGTTTCCATAAACATAGGACTCTGTACAGAAATGTATTCACTCATACAGCAAAATCCTTCTTTGAATTAACTGTGCCTAAGTTCCATGCAAATTTGCAAGGGTAAAAATCATACAGGATCAAGACTGGCACTAGTCTGCTGGTTCTAAAAAGAACTGACATTTTTTGATTTTACTGTGTTTTCTGAAGATCCTCAACAAACATTTAAATACTATAAACTAGTTAGGCTCACTCCTGCCCCTCCTCCAAACTCCAGGGAATTCCAGGGACTCTGAAACCAGAGACCCTCTAAATCCAGTCTAAATGTCTTTTGGTGCATTTCCACCTGTTTGTTCTCATGCCAGTATTGTTGGTTACCTTACCTAATTTTTTTAACAGTTTTCCACATATACTCAGCTTCCTCAAGACAGGCTCTTATTTCACTGAATATCTGAAAAAATATTCTCTACCTATTTCAGTTTTAAGTCACTTTTTTTTTTTTTTTATATGGTGACTAGAATTAGACCACCTTGACTCCAGACCTGGGTCTTTGCAGTGTCTTACAAAAATAGGAGTTTTAAAAGAGAAAACACTGTTGGATGACTAGGCAGATGAACGCCAGGATCTACAACACATTTGCCTTTTCACATCTACAATATATCGGTTGCTCAATCCTGCATGAGAAACTAATATGCCAAGACTTGGCTTTCATCAGTTGCAAGTGACAGAAAAATTTATCAGCCCTCAATGCACAACTGTGCACTTAGTGTTATTACATTACATCCTTTTTCTATTACTCCTCAAGGTCATCCATTTCTTCCTGTATGTGAGCTCCTTCCTCTTCTGTACTGAGGGTGGCTTCCAACCTTTGCTCACTGGCTGATTTCATTAAAATTCTTTTAATAACCACAAACTTCTTAAGCTTAACCCTCTCTGGGTTACAAAGCATCACCGATTATCTGCTTTGTTAAAGTCCCTTCAGTTTCCCTTGTGCTCTCATTTTCCATTTCCCTCAGGACAGACTGTCAACTTTTATTTATTTGTTTATTCTTAAACAACTATTTTCATATACTGTTTTACCCAAAACAGAGTACTTTTCCCTCTTGCTTGCAAAGCTGCAGGTGGTATTGCTTGTTTAAAATATTTGCACATTATAAATGCAAACTGTTTTAAACTGGTATCAGTTACATTGCTTTTACTTGCACAGAGAATTCAGAGACTGAGCACTGCTTTGAAGATGATGGACTCAAGCCAAACAACTAGGTATTTATAGTTACATATATAAAATTAGTTCTAAAAATGAAAGTAGGCATATTTAGGACATGCCACAGTATTCAATAAGAACATTCATTAGGAATCTAAATTGAGCCAGACAGATGTTAAAGCAATTCCAAATAGTAACGAAATAGTATAAAATATTACAGGACACTACTGAGAAGGATTTAAAAAAAATACACTCCTAAGTAACTCCTCACCAAGACTTTCCTTTTTCCTCAAAGGGATCTATCCAGATGTATCTCCCTGCTTTATTAGTTTTCTCCGTTGAAGGAGCAGCATCTGCTAAAGGAGTTGCTTAGGCAAAGCTGGACAGCCAGACTTGGATTGCCAAGTGTATTGTAGCTCCAAACTCATCCACAACTCCATTCTAGAAGTATCACAACTACATGTTTGTATACATTTGATTTTTTAAATTTCTCCAGTCATGCTATAAATTTAGGTGCAGATTCCAAGCAGAAGCATAAGGAGGTTCTGCACTTAACAGCTAGGCTATGTACATTCATTATTAAAATAATTTAAGGCATATGTGGGTTTCTCTAAATATAAAAAAAAAAAAAAAAAGTAGAAGCTTGGAATAAATCTTTTTCCCTAAAGTCCCTGTTAGATCAAGGTTCTGAAAGAAGAACTTCTCCTTTGCTTGCCTGAAATGCAGCCCGTGATCATGGTTCATGAAATGCAATCAATAGCATGGGGTCCCACAAGATTGGTTCACACAGGATTTGTGTGGTTTGGCCTGAGGTTCCCAACTTACTCATGATACTCTCCAATGTTCAGGAATTCATAGGATTCCTATCAAAACACAGGCAACAATATTTCACAACCTCAACAGTTCTTTTTTAAAAACAACAAAGAACATGGCATTGATAGAGCATTTGACAGTCTCAGTAGCTACACTGCTCTTGCCACTTCCAAAGTAAGTGTGGGCTGCTTCTATACATCAGGGATTCCAGGCTGAACACTTCATCTGCTACTGCAGCATACAGTTTCTAAATAGCTGTCCCACTAACCTAGTTACATGCCCAAAAGCGAGCAGAAGTTTGATCCAAATGCCGCTGGTAACATTGGCCTGCTGTCTGGATTAAAGCTATAGGATACACTGAGATTTTAGGATTTTAACACATGCACGAGAATCCACCTGTGTACCTGCCAGCTAGGTGCTTGGTATTCATTGCTGTTCTTTCTTTACCTCCAGAAGAATTTCCTTCCCTGGACTCTTATGGAAAAGGTCCACTCTACAGTCACATCCTTCTTTACTACTCTCATTTCTGCTTTCCCCTACCTGCTTTCCATAACACAATGCATCTTGCACATCTATTCCTCTGTCTCTCTACAGTATCTAAGAAACAACACAGCAGAGAAATGAGTGTGCTGTGGATGGTGTGTGTGTTGACTGAAAAGATGCCTGCAAACATGAGCCTGGGTGCCTAAGGCTGGTGGATTCCTGTGCAGCTGAGCCAACAAAACAGCTGGTTGCTAGGGCAAGAGTCAGTTCCCAACTCCCTAACCTACTCTCTGCACCACTATGAATGAGTCCAGTGACCACAAAGCCAGACACCAAGAGCAGTCGGAGTAAGGCAGAGAAAAGAGAAGGAACATGACTGCCACCTTGCTTAATTGTGAACTGTACCCCCTTACTCAGCCTTGTGGAATTGTGCCCTAAGATAACAGGCACAAGGCAGCATGGCCCTGCAAGGAAGTAGCAACGTCACCTCTCCACTCACGTCTGCAGTGTCCCTCTCCCACATGCTGACAAAGCTCTCTGTACGGCTGTATAATTAATTCATCCACTTCAGCCACCTTCTTTTTCAGACAGATTAGTTTTCCAAGCTGGTTCAATAAATGTCTCTACTGTGTTCGTGCCATGCAAAGAAAAATGGGCATTGTGGTGGCAGAAGGCTCAGCACAGAGTGGGACTTTTCCCTTAGCAATGCCAGCTACAGATTTTCACATTACTTAGGAGATGGTTGGTGTTTTCAATACCTGTTCAGAAAAGCTGGGTCCTGTGAGAGGACAAATAATAATTCTCCATGGCAAAGGAATAAATGTAGATTCAAGCAGTGACTACAAGCTACAATTGTGCAACCAGTCATCTTCACTGGGCAAGCAAAACTTAACCTTACCTTAAAGCTCTCTTCCTTTGGAGCAATCGTGAAGGTTTAAACCTGACTGAGTTTTCTTTGTCAAAATCTGTGAAATGAAAAAACAAAACACACACCATAGTGAAGATTGTTTAATAAATAGGTAGCTTTTAGAAACCTATGTTATAGTCTCCAATCATAGTCCTCTTCCACTGGAGGAGGCTGTACAAAGGCCTTCATGCTACTCAAAGGATCCTAAGCTGGCACATCCAAGACGGTGGTAACCAAAGTCTTGCAAAAATGAGTACAGACAGTAAACATCCCAAAAGCATCAACGCTTTATGCAACTGTCATGTTCTAATCCCAGTATTCATGGTGTAGCACTGCAGCCTGAGGCTATCATTTAAAGTCCTTGACTTGCTTTCCCAGCTTGGAAAAGAAGCAGTAGACATGGTTATGAAGTACTCTGCAAATGAGAAATGCTGCAAACAGCAAGATCCTTTTTGGCTGCAGCCTAGCAATATTATAAAAACTGCATATTCACTGCAGAAGTCAGATGCCCAGCTGAGGATCTGTTGCAACAACAGCATTATACCACCCATGACAGAAATATTTCTGAAGGTTGTCTACTGTTTGGAAGCTCCTCTTTTTTTTTTCTGAATAGCTTCAGAATATGCTGACTTTCAGAGAGAAACACGTGTTTATACAGAGAGCAAAACTGTGCCAGATGCAGCCTTATATTCAAAAAGTATGCATTACAAAGCCCCTAGGTTCCCAAGCCATAATAAACAAAGGGCAACCTCCCCTCTCTGCCCACAGATTTAACTTTTTCATTTCTGTAGTGAAAAGCATCATCAGAGGCTCTAAATGATGATGAGTGGTGCGGGGGACCAGTGCTCCAAGTACCCGCTCCCTCCATTCACCATCATGAGGATGCTACCAAAAGGCCCTGGAGAACAGCTAGCCTGGAAGCAGGGGATCACCTGGTCCGTGACTGCTGTTGAAGAACACATTAAGTGACTAGTCATTTACTCCCTATGGGAAAACTCCCTTTTGTCCCCATCCGCCATGTTACCTACCCCAAGACCCTAAATTCATAAAAATAAAATTAGTCATTGATGCAGCCTTCATTTTATTTTTCAAAGATATACCTGAATATCACAGAACCTTGACGTAGAACGATTCAAAAGCAGCAACACCTCTTTTACTCCTCCCCTGAGCTGAGGTTTAACTGTTTCAAAGAACAGCTAACTGACAAAGATATATTTTTTGCTTATACAAAATATTTTAAAATCCAGGTAGGACGTTCCTTATTTTTGTAAAAAGAGTTTAATGAAACTTCTCATAGCTGACAATATGGATCTTAATTTAGAGAATGTATCTTTTAACCATGCCTTCCAAAACTTTTCACCTTTCTTCTCTCTTCTACTTCTGCCACCTCTCCAGGTAACTAAGTTTAAAGAAAAAAAGACCATTTTAACAGCTTGATAAAGAGGCTTAAAATGTGCAGAAAGGCATTTTTTAGGCATGTGCTGCAAGTCGCTGCAGATTTCAAGCAGCTTTGCTAATAGCATTCTTCAGCTTTAATAGACAACTTTTTTTCTGTTTTGTTAACATTCATTTTCTCTTTCCAAGTAAATGGAGAATAAGCATGCAGATTACACAGAAACGTCTTGTTAGACTAGAAGTATTATAAGAAAGACAGTATGAATGGTATATAAATCATTGTATTTTATACTACAACACTAAAAAGAATACACCATGCTGTAAGGATCCTCTAAACCAGCCAGGTTTACATTATCATGAGGAGAGCATGTAGTAACTTAAAAAGCCCAGCTCACTATCAACTTAGCTAATCAGAACCAGGCATATCTTAGATTTATAGCTGTTCTAACAGTATATAAACCATCCTATAGTTTTTGGCACTAAAACAACTGTCCACCATGAAAACCACAAGCAGAACACAGACAAATTCTCCCTGCCCCAGCCAAAAAAGGAGAGGGGATATGAAAAGGGAAGAAAGTAGCTTTCATTGCTGTGCTGGGAGAAGGGATGGAGAAGTGCTGCTAAGAGGGGACACACAAGCCAGTCTGGTTCTTGCTACCCATTAAACACATTCAGTAACATTCATACCACATTTATAATGCCTCAAAAATATCTTAAAACTTTACTGCATTACACAGGGGCAAGCTCCTGTCTGCTCCCCCCCCTCCAAACACAGAAAACCCAACCAGACAACTATATTCTGTTACACAGTTTTGATATTTTATGTATTTCCTCCTGTTCAAATGAAACCCCATGTGGGAGGATTCAAGTCCAATAAAACTTATTTACTACAATATGGAAGTCTTAAAATTAAATACAAACACAGAAGAAAAACAATTCTGCTACAAAAGAAAAATATGCCCACAAAAGAAATATTAGTTCAACACAGTCTTAATTCAATGGTTAATTTAAAGGAACCCCACACATACAGTAGCTGATACACAGAAGGAAAATATTTGCAACAGTATTTTGTTCCTTCTTTCACTGAAAAATTCTAAACATGCTCATAACTTTTAAACAATTTTAAATATTTGTATTCAAAATTAGGAGTGTATTTACTGTAAATCAAACTTGCTTACAAGTTTAACATTTTTCCAGTCTAGCCCCCCTCCCTCTTTGGTACAAACGATGAGATAAAACCACTATCCATAATTTAATACACAGGAAATTTAAAATGCTCAATTTTAAAAAAAGTAGATGCAACCTTCCAGTGTTACTTAGTATATTTAAAGGCCCTAAGTCGGTGGCAAGCTAAGCTAATTAAAAGATCCATCTAATCGGATCTTTCAAAAGTGTCCTTTAGGAAATAATGAAATAGCCTAGGTGACTAACTGCATACCGATTGCTAAAGTAGCTAACGTAGCTGCAGAAGATTCAGTCAAACAATATTTACACATGCATACATATATACGAGAGAGATTAAACACACACAAATCAAATGCATTTTCTTCTGTCTACTTGGAACTCTTACCTTGCTCCTCAGAGTATTTAACATTTCCCAAATAGCTGGAGATCCAAGGATTTCTGAACATGGTTGCACAAACAAAGGATTCAGCAAAGAGAAACTACAATAGCAGCTAATTCTCAACCAGCCACAGCCCTAGGCCTGTCTTAGCAATATCGTGTAGAGATTTTTCATAGCAGAGGACTGGAGCTGTCAGGCTATCGCGTCCCAGGGAGTACAGTAAATGCATAGCAATAGGCTGCAAGCTGGAGCAGCTCAAGCCAGTAATCAGATTACAAACAGAAATTAGGCACATGAATGCTAAAACAGATTGGGCAATGGTAACTGGGAGATTTATAATATTACCACTTCAAAGATCCAGCCAAATCACACATTATATTCCTGCAAAACGAATGCAGAACCCCTAAATCCTCATATTTAAAAAAAAAAAAAAAAAAAAGGAAAAAAAAACTCCAAGAAGAATAATAATTTCTTCATATCTCTAATCAGGATAAATTGCAATGCTTGCTTAAGAAAAACAGCATCCAGGCTGCCAAAAAAATGGACTCTGTTAATCATATCATTATGCTAAACGTTTTCCCTAACTATTAGTTGGAACATTTAAAACAGACAAGATTTATGGATAACATATGAACAAAATTACTGGTGGGGGTGGGGATTTAAGAATAGACACCACAGCTCCAAATATTTTAATTTGAGACAGAAGGTGTAAAATTGCACAAAAGTCCTGTCTAGCTACCATATTTTTTTATTAAACAGATTTGATGGATGTTGGATTGAAGAGTGAGAAACCTTTAGAGTTCATTTTGAAAATCTGGAATTATTTGTGCAAAACAATGCAATAACCCTTGCTTGGTCTTCCACGCTGATCTACCTGATCATCTAACACACACAGAAGCACTAAAAACGTGACTCAAACACGTCCACGCACTTAACCTCATCCAACCACAGGCACCAGCTGCCTACTAGCTTCCCTCCAACAGACTTCTTCCCTTCAAAAAGATTTCAACTGTATCAGCAGAAAACTCACCACAAGGCTGGGGTTGTCAGGACCAGAAAATGGTAGCCTAGGAACACAAGACTGAAATTCTTGACCTTTCTTACCTGTTTTTAGGATACCTGGTACAACAGAACCCTGGTCCATGATGGGAACCCTCTACATACAGGCAAAACATAAGCAATGATGCTCTGAAAGAGACTGCTTAATCACAAGTGCAAAATATAATCTATCAAAAAACTATTCATTCCTGTTGGCTCCCCATGAAGTTGTATTTAGCCTGCCTAGGTCATCACACTGTTTGTCATGCTAACAAGTTCTTGCAATGGATAGAAGAATATGGGCTCCATCTTGTCTAATGCTCCTGCTATTTGTATTCATTTATTTTTAAACATGAATAACGTTGTAGTCACCTTAACCAAAGAACCTTTTATTAGCTGGTCTTTCAATAGTCCAGACCTCCCTGGGATAAGAGTCACTCAACACAAGGAATATGGCACTGAAGCCTCTGAGTCACCAAGTAACATCCTCTGTTCAGATGATACGTATGGTATGTGACAGCATTTTTAATTTGCCTGTACCCTTACTGGCTCTGACGTTTAACCACACCACAGCACCACCCACAGAAAACAAGCTGAACACTGCTGTGCTCTCCCGACCAGCTGCAAAGGCCTCTATGTTCTTAAGCACAGTATGTACAAAACCAGTGACCAAAAACGTAGCCTGTTGACACTGGTCTAAACTTGTCATTAACATGAAAAGTCCACTTTGTGGCCTAGACATAACTGCGGGTGTGCTTAAAACACAAAACCGAGACAGTGCAGAAAGAGGCAGCTGCTGGTAACAGCTACTGGGGACATTCTGGACCAGTATCTGTGTGGGTGTATCAATAAAAGAGATGCGCAGTTCTGAAAAGGTCCCTGTGAACCCGGCTTGTGTGAAGGCTGCTTACTTGATCTTGTGAACAGCTGTGTTATTAGCTGGAGCACTGAGCATTCTGAAGCACCTGTAACTCGTGGTACACAGTAAGGGACCTGTTCCTTATAAAGTGCAGATAAATAACGCTCATTTGATAAATCTTGTGACTGCAGTGTTT